TACAGAGTGGAATAAATATTGAGGAGATATATATACACACATACAGAGAGCATAAACAGGTGGGAGTAAGCTCTCTGTATGTGTGTACATATATATCCTCAATATTTATTCCACTCTGTATGCATCCGAAGAAGTGGGCTGTAGTCCACGAAAGCTTATCCTCTAATAAATTTGTTAGTCTCTAAGGTGCCACAAGTACTCCTGTTCCCAGTGGGAATGAATCGCTCCATCACCATTAGAAGTTACACTTGTAATTAATCCTAAAGGACAAAGAGCTAGGAATGTGCAGACTGGTTAGGAATTTTTGACTCATCTTCAGTTCAGTTACACGGGCAAAGAATATGAATTTGAACCTGTGTCATGGGCCAGATCCTCACCTGGTGTATATTGAAGTAGCTCCCTGGATGTTAATGGGTCGGATTCACCATTGATGTAAATAGCCCTAGCTTGCTGAACTCAGCGAAACTGTATCAATTTACACCAGCTCAGGACTTGGCCCTTAGTTTTTAGTCTTTTCCTCTAGGTACCAACTTCAAGCAGCTGGGGCAGCGTGAGCTGTGGGTTCCTCTCATGGCTGCATTCCAGGAGCTGCTGCTGCAAAGCAGGAGAAAAAGAATCTCTGCTCCCCCAGAGATAATTGTGTGATTTGTTAATGAAGGAACAGGCGATTCCAGGCCAGCTGAGGTTCTGGTGCCACTGGGCTCTTAGCTATTGTAGGTCACATGTCCGTGCGGCAAACACATATTTATTTCTACAAACCCTTGGGGACGCCCATTGGGCATCAGCTATAGATAGCAGTGGATATGGATGACGAGAGAAGCAAAAGGCTCTTTTCAGAACCACCATGTTCTTTCTGGACAGGAGCTGTATTCTGTGCCTGTCTGGGTTCCCCTCACATCCACCCCCAGAACCTCTCCATAAGTGCAGCACAAAACTGAATGCATCCATCTGCCACATAGGAGGCTCAGTGAAATGGCCTGTTCATCTTAATGAGCTATTCTGAGCTGAGTGAGAATCCCTCCAGGAGATGGTACAGCCTGAAACAAGTGCTCAGAGAGGTGTGAACTGCTGCACTTGTACCAGCCACCCCAGTGCCAGCAGGGTTTCATGGTGTTGTCGGTGCACGCTCCACATGTGCCTCTTCTCAGCTTCACACCCCAAGGGGTGGTGCTGCCCTAGACCCAGCACACATGGGGAAGGGATTAGGGAGAGAGATTCAGCCCCCCAGAAGGGCAAGGACAAAGCCCCCAAGATCACATGAGGGGAGCAGGGAGGGTTGGACCCCATACATAGGTTGGGAACCCCCAGGTATTGGCAAAGACATGGGAGGGAAATGTGGGATTGTCAAGTGCCCCTGTCCCCATTTCCCCCCAGGCTGCTGTCACTCACCCTCATGTTCCTCTTCCCAGTGCCCAACCCCTCCCCATCTCCTCACACCCAACCCATCTCCTATCCACCCTCCTCATTTATCCTCCTTCCCATAATCACCCCTCCTCTCAAGGCCCCCAAAACACCTCTCTCCCTTTCCCACCAACTCTTCCACCGCCAATAATTCCCCCTCCCAGTGAGCGTGTGTTTGGGTTATTTATTTTCATTTCAAAAATAGTTTCAGCACCTTCTCAATATTCGGCTGTGCTCAAGGGACAGTTCCCCAAGATTAGAAACCCTTCAACAGAGGCAGATCTCACCTGCTTTTAGTCACAGATTTCTGTCCAGAGTGAGATTTTAACTCACAGGGCCTAGGTTTGTTGGCCAGAACATTCTCCTTTCAGCAGCTATGGGGCTGCGAGTCAGAAACAGTTTTCAACCAGCTCCTCCTTTTGCCAGGCACATGCACAGTGCAATCTGTTTGGTGCGACTCCAACCACTTCAAAGGCTGATGCACCTAACTGAGAACTAAACTCTGTGGCTGATAACGCTGTCACTTTATTTCCCCACGAGGGCCAGTGGGTGGACTGCACTCTGCTGAGCTTTGGAGTCCCTCGTGTGAGGATGTGAGCCCCGGTTTTAGCTGTGCACAATAAATCAGCACCAAAATGCACCAACTGTAAGAAAAGTTAGAAATACTTCACTGCAATCAACTGATTTCCCTCTCCCCCATCCTGCTGTAAACCAGGAGTAACCCCACTGGAGTTAAGGGGCTGATTCTCCCGTCACTCATCTCAGGGTAAGTCCATGGTGTTACGCTGGAGTATGTCTGGTTTCAGGGAGAGGAGATTCAGGCCCTTTGACTCCAGCCTCTGCCACATCCTCCACCCCCTGAACGCTTTTACTCTAGTCTCCAGGTGTCTCCTTCCCTCTGCCTCACACAGCCCAGACCCCCAAACACCCCCCCCAGCTCCTAATCCCCTACCTCCCCTCTCACAACCCTCCACCTCACAAATGCTCCCGGGCCACGTTCTCTGAGATTCCACCTCCCATGGCCCAGAGCCAATTCTCCACCCAGAGTTCCCGACTCAGCTTCCTCAGAGATCCCTGCTGAACCCCTCTGCCCACCAGTCCCCTCCTCTGCTCAGCCCCACTCCTCTGACATGACCCCAGACCCAGGGAAAAAAAACCCACCCCTGCTTCCTTCTGTCCCACCTCCAAACACCAGACATTCTCTCCTGCTTCTCTCCTTTGGCCATCCTGGGCCACCACTTCATTCCCACCCCACTTTCCTCCTTCCTCTGCCTGGCCCTCTCTAGAGCTGGGGGTGGGATTTCAGTCCCTCATCCCATTTAGTCCATCACCTCTCAGCCAAGCCTGCCCAAGGAGGGGAGCAGGGAGTGCCCATCTGTGGAGTAGATCCCTGTCTGCTAGGAACTGCAGAGAGACACAGCAACTCAGGACATCCAGAGAAGGGACACAACAATGGCTGATGGATAATACGGTGATGGGGGCATGAGAGAGAGAGAGAACCAAACAATCCTGGCAGTGGGTGCATAGATAGATAGATAGATAGATAGATAGATAGATAGATAGATAGATAGATAGATAGATAGGACCAATGATTGCTAACACTGGAGGCTCAAATGCATCGCAAGCTGGGAAAAATTCCACAAAGACCAGCACAGTAAATTTGCCATTTCAGTTAAATATGTTAGAGTATTAATATCAGGGCTAATTTAAGAACATAAATTTGAATTATGTTTGGAACTCTTTAAGACCTTTGCTATCAAGTCAACCAAACATCTAGAGTCTATCAGATTATTTTTATCAAAAAAAAATTGGGCTTTCATAGAATTCCCAAAAATCTCTGATTGTTCATGTTTTGGCAAGTGAGAAACAAACATTTTCAGCTAAAAATAGGAGAAAACTGATTTTTTCCTGCCTAAATCCACCCAAAAAACCATGGGTTTTCAGTTCCCCTATGTATATATATGAAGTATCAGTGAAATATATTTGAGGATACCTGAGACGTTCTGTGAAAATTTGATTAATTGAAAACACAATTTTCCTTTGAAAACAATTTAAGCAGAACATTTCTGACCACA